AAAAAGATTAAGAAATTCTATAAGTGAGATGAGAAAATTTTAAGATAAAAAATGGTTAAAAATCGAGTCTTTTATTTTGATTTAATGTTTGTGTTAAATAATATAAAAGAATGACATTGCCCAGATCGACCAAGCACGGTCGTAAACAATCGTATACGAAGAAATACGACCAAATACACAGCTCAGTATTACGATCGTAAATCTCCGTGTCGTATACGGAGTAATGGGGCTATATACGAAGAAAAATACGGTCGTTTACGATTTTCGCATACGCAGTCCGTATACGGTGATCATTTTACTTCGTATTTCTCTGTAAACGATCGTATCGCAGCGTATGCACCCACGACAATATACGATCGTAATACTGAGCCATGTATTACGGTAAAATACGACCGTAAACGATCGTATCGAGGTCGTATACGAAGTCCGTAATCGTCGACCTGAGTAATTATTATTTATTCAATAAAAAAACCGATTAAAATTTTAAGATGTTAAATGTTTAAGAGAATTTTTACTTGTTTTCTTAATCGTATTAAAAGAGAAACTCCAATATTAAGAAGAATACTAAAAGTCAACTACCGATTTCTACTGAAAATAAAACAATAATTCAGTTTTTATTTAGAATCAGCCTATTCGAGAAGTCCTCGGAGATCCACAGGAACTTGCAGCTATTGTAAATAGAAGTAGAATGTGACTCTGGGCTACCGGTGACAAGCCATCTTAAGTTCAAGCTTATCACCTGCCTGTAGAACATTAAATTTAATGAATACAAAAAAGATAGATAGCAACAAGTGCTTGAATGCATAAAGATCGGTATACTTTGAAAGATAGTCAATCCATCGATTAAAGTGATGACAGAAAAATGCGATCAGTTTTATTCTGACTGATAAGAAACCATTGAAAAGATGCTATAAGATGATTTCATAATATTATTAAGTGATTTTAATGCTAGAATCGGACAACAACAACAATATCAAATTGCTCCTAAAACTGTTGATACTTATACTGTTGATTTCGAGAATGAAAATAAGATTAGACTTCTCGATTTCTCTTTAACAAATAACTTAGTCATTAAAAAGACCTTCTTTCAACACAAATTTACTCATCAAACCTTGTGGATACATTCAGAAAACAAGCAGTGGCATATGTTGAATTATACTATTGTGAATAAGAAATTCCAATCCAGCATCAAAGATGTAAGATGTTACCGAAGAACTGCCAGTGAAATCGGTACTGATCATCATCTAACAGGAAGTAAAATTAAACTACATTGGAAATCTGAGAAGAAAATCAAATAGCTACAACTAGATCTTTCAAAGTTAGAAGAACAATCAATATTAGAAAGATTTCAAAATGATATTGAAAACAAATTTCAACAATTGAAACACAATGATCATAATATTAATACGAAGTACCAAACATTTGTTCAAACTAAAACGGAAGCTGCAAAAGAATATTTGAAGGGAGATAACAACAATAAATAGTGCAAAGAATTGTTAACTAAAGAGATCTTAAAGGTGATGGAGAAGAAATCGTTAGTTTATCTCCAGTGGCAAAATCATTGTCGTAGATCATCAGAAAAAAAAATATACAGGAAGTAGTATGTAACATCAAGAAAACTTGTGAAGACATGAATTGATCAACGACAAATTGAATATTGGAATGAACTTAGTGAAGAGATTGAGTTAGCCATCATGCAGCATGACCCAGTTCCAGCTAACGTTATGATCAAATGATAAAGAGGAAGAAAACATACTAATTCAAGTTAAAGATGGGAAATTACTGTTGAACTCGAAACACAGACTGGTTCGTTGAAGAGAACATTTCTCAGAATTACTGAATGTATACTCTGCGGTGAATTCATCACTTATTGATCAAATCTCTGTATCAATAACTTCATTAACTGAAGAAGATAGACAAGATAAATCGCCAACTTCGCAGGAAATACAAGAAGTACTGAAATAAATCAAGAATGAGAAAGTTACTGGTAATGATTCCATTACATCAGATCTAATACAAACAGGAAGTCTGCCAGTGCCAAAATGGCTTCATGAAATCTTTGTTGACATATAGGAAAATGAAGAGATTGTTGAAGATTGGACGTCCGCTATTTTAATTCATCTAACCAAGAATAAATGTGACAAAAACCTATGTGATTATTATTACAGCATTTCTATGTTGGTAGTAGTAAGTCAACTTTTCACTCGGATAATTCTTAAGCGTATTCAAAACGTGATCAATACTCAACTTTTAGAAAAACAAACTGGCTTTCAATAATATAGATCAACAATCGATCACGTGTTTATACTGAAAAAATGCTAATGAAAAAATCAAGAGAATTATTGACATTCAAACGGCTAATGACTCCGCGAACAGAGAATTTATTATGGAAGATATGCTAACATCATGGATTAACAGAAACGATTGTTCGGTTATTGAAATTAAATTACAAAAAATACGAGAACGAAAGTTAGGAATTAATGGTGAAGAATTTGAAAGTTTCGACATTTAAGATAGTTTTACACAAGGTAGAATTCCATCATCCGTGCTATTCAATATCTTCTTTGATTTTATAATCAAGAAAGTTTTAGAAGAAGTTAAAATTCATGGAATTAAATTTGTCTACAGAAGTAACAATTTTTATCACGATCCTCGCAAAAAGTACGAGAACGTAGATATACTGGTATTAGTGTATGCAATAGCGAACTGTGTTGAATTCATGAAGAAATATTTTTAAGAATCGGAGTCGAAATAATAAACTGCATTGGATTCCGAAACCCGACTTCAACTCCGAATTTGATGTTGATGTTTTCTTCTTCTCAACGAATTTATTCATAGCTCACCATCAGTTTATTAAGTTTTCAAGTTCTTTTTGTTGAAACCTTTTTACTCATAATCTTTTTGTGTTTGAAAAACAAAGCAAAGTCTATCAGAATATAAACTATTCACTTCTTACTGATTCGTTTACTTGTTCATCCATTTAGGATATCAAGCATTGACATGAATCACATGTTGTTAACCTTCAAAAAAGATTTCGAAATTTTTCGGAGTCAGAATTAGAATCGAGAAGAATTCTTTTCGGACTCGGAAACGAAATCAAAATGAAAAAGTGTAACTCCGCTGATCACTAGTATGCAAATGACTTAGTAGGTACATGTAACAATATGGATGATTTGAGAAAATTTATTCATATGTTTGACAATATAACTCAAAAGTATGGACTAACCATAAATATAAAGAAGACTTGCATCATGTCCTTACAACATTTCAAAGAAGATACTCATGGAAAAACAATGAAGCACCAACAGGTGGATAGTCCAAACATTGGCATCATTATCAGAAACCTGGAAATTGAAATAGTTGACTACATTTTTTTATTAAAATTTTGCTCAAATATTTTAAAAAACTCTTCAAGTAAATTATTCTATAGAGCTTGTTTTTTTTTTCAATAAAATCTGAAGAAGTCTTATAATTAGAAAAAGATAATTCAAAAATAATTTATTTGAGATTTTTCATTATGAAAATAACTTTTAAAAAGTTTCAATTATTATTAAATATTCAGATATAGAATTTATTTATTTAATTAATCAATAAACAAGATTAATTTAAAAAAGATAATATAGAAAAAACTTCTTAATAATCTCAAAGAGAAAGTCATTTTAAAATAGAAAAACAAGACAAAATGATTATCAAATTTAATTGACATATTCATAAAAACTATTAGTTTCAACAACAATTTATTTGATTTTATCAAAAATGAGAATCAATATGATGAATTTAATTTTTATCAATAGTTTTGTAAAAAAAAAAATCAGTGTATAGTACGCCAATCTACCGTAGAATTAGATACTCATCTGCCGTGTCAATAAAATTATCAGTGATCACCCTAACATGTTCGTAAAAGAACGATTGTGTCATGCTTACAATATGCTCTTTGAACTCTATTCGAACCAATAAAAGCTCGGTTTTTTTAATTATTTTATGCTGAAAAACATCTAGAGGAAAATATTGTCAATAGCGCAATAATTCTCATTAACACAAATGTTCATTAAATTCATTATTAAATCTAGATAAGCTAAATTGTGATAAAACTTTCTTCAATTATATTCAATAAAAGACAAAAAGTTCACGTGCTAATCATTTCAGATAAATGTCGATTAAATTTTTATGATGAAATAGTTTTGAAAAAATTAATCATGATACGTCTATTCAACTTAGAAATATTTCTTTAGATTTCCGTTTTTTATTCATCAAATTCGAATAAGTTGTTAGTGAGATCTTTATTAATTTAATTGAATTATTTTGTATCGACATCCAAGTTAATGTCTATAGTTTTTTCAACTTTCTTCGTTCTCAATTGGCACTTTTAATGGAGTCTATTGCATTTCGATCCAGAATAGATCCGAGCCGATTCACGTTTGCCAAATGTTGTTTCAGATGTGAACCATTTAAATTTATTGAGACTTATTTCTTTATCATTGAAAACCCATTGTAATAATGCAGGACTACCCTACCTTCCATAGAGATGGCTGAAAAAAATAATATTTTTTCGATTTAGTTATCATAAATAAAAGACGTAGTCTAAATATAGTCATATGTGAAATATTAGGTCATTTGATCTTACCTATGAAAAATGACCAAATATTTAGCATTTGACTATGTTTAGAATATATCTTTTTTTTTTGTTGAGATAACTAAATCGAAAAAAAAAATCATTTTTTTCTCTGTCGAAGTATGGTGTTCCTTTCGCGAACTGTCATTTAAATAGTGAAGTCTGATATTTTTTTCTATATATTTTCTCTTTATATGATAACTTAAGTTTTGAATAGTTCTCAATAAATGAAAGATTTCATTTTAAAAATTCAATCGTTCGGAAATGATATAAGATTTTCTTATAAAAATCTTCGTATTGATATTCTTGTTGACTTTTATTACATAAATAAATATTTATTTATAATAGATAAAAATAAAAATATTTAAAAGCAAAAAAGTTTTTGTTTTTATTTTTCTCTTGGATCAGGTCGTGATTTAGCAAAGAACATAAGTGCATAAATAACTAATGAAACAAGAGAAAAGTAGAGTGCGAGAATTTCCATTCCGAAACACCATCCGACTTTTACATGGTATTCTGCATGCGTTAAATTGATAAATCTTGCTTCCCAATTTTCATTAATTGGTCCTAGAAAAGTAAAATATATGAATTAAATCGTAGCGATATAAGAAAAAAAAATCTCGTATTTCACAAAATACCATCTGCAGAAAATTCTTCAATAGCAGCCCAACGAGAACGAAGATGATATAAATCTTCATCTAACTTTCCACCTGCAGTACTTATTGCTACAACAATACATAGTATTGAAAATAGTAAAAGAACAAAACAAAGTGGAATTAGCCATCGTAATATATAATCTATCTTGACAAAGGCTACTAAATGTGATAAAAACATTAAAATTCCAAGTGACAATGCTGATAAAACAGTCATAGCCAAAACTGCTTTTGTTCTCTTTGTATAACTGTAAATAAATATATAATAGAATTAAAATAGATTATTTCAATATATTATTATATAACTTACTCGCATTTACAATTTTGTCCTCGACGTCTAGATAAACAAATTAAATCAGGTTGTCTACTAGCATTTATAAGACAATTAAATGCTTCATTGGGATCATCGACTATTAAAAATTGATTTGGAATACAAACTTGTGTTAGAAATGCATTTGCAGATACACGAGAACTTGTATCATTAGATAGAAATAGTGCAGCTACTCCTGCATCATAACAACGTTGACGTACTGATGTCCTCCATGATGCTAATGGATTTAA